TGAAGTCTTCCTTCACACTGGACTATTTTAGAATCTCTGGAACCAATTGTGGTGTATTGATATCATACTGAGAAATGTCCTAACCTAGTGATGGTGAACATTTCAGAGCTTTTAATTATAACAAACAGCCAGCTGCAGCACGTGTGCCCCAGGTTCACCATCACTGCCCTAACCTCTTTTTAATTTTTTTAAAATTTTATTTATTTATTTATTAAATATGGGGTCTCACCATGCAATTCAGACTCATAGTGATCCTCCTATCTCAGCCTCCCCAGTGCTGGGTCTATAGTAGTGTACCGCCAAGCCTGCATGGCACACAGTACCAGGGATTGACCGTAGGACCCTGTGTTTGTCAGGCCCGCACTTAGCTGAGCTATCTCCCTAGCACCCTAACTTCTTTTTAATCCATGATTCCCATAAGATAAAAAGAGAAAAACAAGTTTATGATTATAATTTAAAGAAATCTCAACTTTATATGCCCCACTGGAAAACAGAAATGAATAATATAGAATATAAGAAGATAAAATTCATCAAAGAATGACCCTTTCAAATCATAACTATTTGTTCTTATCTGTCACGTAATGGTTTAGATAAGTATGTATGTACTTCTAAGAAATGGAAAAGGTACTCAACAATGGTGATGCATCCCTAAGACTCTGAAGCAGAAGTCCCAGCATAGTCTGGGAAAATGAGCGAGTCCTTGTCACAAATAAAACCTGAAAAAGAAAAAAAAGGGGGGGGGGGCTGGAGAGATGGCTCAGTGGAATAAGTGCTTGTCTGGCAAGCTCAAGGACCTGAGTTCAATCCCTGGTTCCACAAAAACAAAGTAAAACAAAACAAAACAAAACAAACTGAAAAAGGCCTAGGGATTGATAGAGTTCAGAGTCAAGGCCAGATTCAAACCTCAGTACTGGGGCTAAAAAGAAAAAGGGTTAAAGTTCGTTTACAAAAGAAAAAGCAGCAAAACTCTTCACCAAAAAAAAGAGCTCAGCAGGATTTCTTCCTTTCCAAAGACAGATACTGGGGCTGGCCAAATAGCTCAGTGGATTAAAGCACCTGCAAGCAGGCACAAGGGCAGGGGGTTCAATGCCCCTGGGGTGTGCTGAGAGGGTGATTAAGATTGGGTGTGGTGGTGCCCACCTGTAATCTCAGCTCTTGAGAGGCTGTAAACAGGAGAATCAGTACAAGAACACCCTATAGACCCTTCCCTAAAAATACAAAAAAAAAAAAA